GACGCCGGGACGACCTTCACCAAGTCCATCTGCACCGGCCGCTGCTCTCAACGTGTTGACAAGGTAACCCTCCACCCACCATGACGCTGCCTAGACCCGAGAGCAAATGACTTCCCGCCCCCGGCAGCCGCTTCTGACAAGTCAGCGTTCCGCACGCCGGTCGCTGAGCACGGGACTCACTCTCCCGTCCCCTCTGCGGACATCTGCCCGGAACATCAGCGTGAACAACGGGACTCAGCGGGGCTCCTGCATGTCGTTAGGACGAGCACAGCGAGCACTGCAGGGAACCAGCACCTGGAGGAGCCCACACGGTCTGCACAGAGGGGGCGTCCTGGCCGAGGGTCCAGCCCCCTCCCGCCCGGGCCCCTCCCAGGGCGCCGGGCCCAGGTGCGCCTGGCAACGCAGACGCGGAGGGCGCGTGGGCGCAGGAGCCACGGGCTCAGCGGGGACCCGCCGTGGGCCGCGCTGCCTTAGTTCCCATCAGAAAAGCAAGGACAACCGCACTCATTAGGCTGCTGCGAGGATCAAATGAGTCATTACCCAGAAAACACTTACCACGGAGCCGGGCACTCAACGTTATTAATAATTACTGTTATTAAATACCACCCTGAGACGACCACAGGAATGATGCGGAATAAAAGAAGCCAACACAAAAGATTCCATGTCCCATGACCCCACTTACCAGAAATTCCCGGCAGACAAGTTCCCTCTGGTGATGGAACCAGATGAGGGGCGGGCGGACAGGGAGGAGGCAGCCACTGCGTGAGGGGCCCTGCGGGTGGTGGTCACAGCCACTTGCTCAGCCCCCACCCCGAGCTGAAACCTGTGCATGTGTGTGCAAATCCTCAGCGAGTGATTTTTAAAATGTCACCTGCGAGCAAGGCTGCCCGGGACCACTCGGTGCAGGGGACCCCCCCCCTCAGCTCTCTCTCATCCGCCCCCACCCGCTCCCTCATAACGCCCATCCTCCCCTGAAAGCATCCTGGTCCTTAAGCTGTTTCCGGGCTGGACCAGGACTCACATGGCAGCACCCCAGAGCCTCTTTTCTGTCCCAGCAGCCAGGACAGGGCCCGGCACAAAGCCAGTGCCAGGAGGCATCTCCTGAACGCACGGGTGAGAGGGAGGGGGGTGCAGGGGTAAGAGGGAGGGGGGCGCACGGGTAAGAGGGAGGGGGTGCACGGGTAAGAGGGAGGGGGCGCACGGGTAAGAGTGAGGGGGTGCACAGTAAGAACGAGGGCGGGGCGCAGAACTGGCCGGGAGCTCCCGCCCACAGGATCACTGGGTGGAGGCCGTGCCCCACGCCCCGGAGGGTAAGACTGCCCAGGGCAGACCTGGCGGAGGAAAGGTCTAGAACCCACATCTGCTTACAGCAAACATGGCTCCACCCACACGTACAGAGCCCACCATAACCAGTCACAAATGCCTATAAAACAATGTAACAGTTTAAAAGCTCATTATTTTGAAAGCCCCGTTAACTATAAAAATGTCATTATAACCGGGTCTTCGTTCAAGCGTTACGTCGTGACTCCCAACCCAAGTGCTAATTGACACGGACCCTGAGCAGCTGCAGGGAGAGGGCGCTGAGGCCGTGAGTCCCGTCCGTAGCGTCCACAGTGTGAGTCGGGCGGCTTCCTCATCCCGCGACGCTGCTCGCTGCCCGACTCACAGTCCGGACCCTTCCCGGCGAGCGGCTCCCACGCCGGCGGGAGGTGAGAACGTGGGCTCGGCGGCCGCGGCACCGGCAGGGGAACCCGGCGCCGTGTCCCCCTCCCGCCGGGCGGCCGCGGATGCCATCAGCCAGGAGCGGCCATCGGCGGCGGCAGGCGCTCACGGAACAGCCTGTGCGTCCGACCTGCTGACTGCGCTGTCCACTCCCTCCCGGGGGAGGCGGCCCGCGTGCCATCCACTCCCCATTTCCTATTGTGAGAAACAAAGGGGAACAGCGCCCATACATCTTCCCGGGAGAACACAGAACAGTTTTAGCATCAAATGAGGCTCCATTTCTCAGGACACGGCTCTCCTCATCTCGGAAATGCAGACAGCAGCCTCGCTGTTTGGATCCCGTACACCAGAAAGTAAACATGCATTTTCTTCATCATCTCACATAAGCGAAACCTGTAATTTCCTCTTCAAAATTCCGAGTATCGCTCGTTCTCGACTCTTTCTTGGTCGTTCGCTTCCCAAGTCAGACTCCCTCAGGGACGCGGCTCCCTGGGGCTGGGCAGGCTCCTGCCTTCCGGGGAGGAGGCGCAGGTACCACAGGACTGCGCTCACCGTCATCCCCTCCCTCGTCCCTTCACCACCCAGCACCGCTCCTCTGCGCTGCAGAGCCCGGCCAGACGGAGCACAGAAAGAGGGGTTCAGTGGGAACACCCCGAGGAGGCTGGAGCGACAGAGGAGATGGGCCTGCACATGCCACCAGGACCACATTCCCAAGCTCCAGGAATCGGGGCGGGGCCGGCGCGGGAGGGCGGCCATCGAATGTGCCCTGCCCCTGCTCCGGGGCCCGGGAGCAGCCCCGTTCCGAGCCAGGCCTCCCCACTGGTTCAGATCCGTGTCCTCTCAATTCTCCGGGACATGGTCTTTCACTGTCACCTCTGTGACCTGCAGCCACGGGCTCCTCTCGCTGGCTGGTCAGCTCACACTCAGCGTTACAGGCTCTAACGGCCACGACCACCCCGACACCCAGCTCCCCGAGTCCGAGGAGCACGACCTAGTCCTGGGACCCTCCTGCCCATTGCCCTGCCTCACACCCACGTGTCCGAACAAACTCCAGACACCACCGCCACCCCCCCGACACACACATGCACACACGTTGCACACACATGCAAAACCTGCTCCACCAAGAGCGCCTCCCGGTGGTTGCTCCATCCTGTCACAGCTCAGGCGGAACTCCTAGAGCTCTCCATGCTTCCTGCCGCTCTCAGTCCCCCCCAACAGACAGCCTCCTGATGCCACTCAAACAGACCTGCATCCGACACTTCTCACCACGCCCCCCACCCGTCCCGATGGCGGCAGTAAGCCCCCAGGCCTCCCGGCTCCTGATCGTGTCTCCCACAGTCTGTTCATAACGTAATTCTTAACCAAAGACCCGTAAGTGAGGCTGCGCTGCTGTTCTGCTCAGCTCCTCGGTGACGGCCGGTCCTCGCATGGCCAAGAGGCCTGGATCTGAACCCCCGGTCCAGCCACCTCGACAGCCTCGACAGCCTTGTCTCCAACCCCCCACCTCACCCCCATCCCGGCGCTGCCAACCCCCCTCCCCCCGCCTCCTTGTGCATCTACCCAGGGCTTCAACTTGCTGCTCCCACTGATACACCCCATGCACGCGGGGGGCGACCAGGCTCGGGCTGCTGTGACACCTGCACGGCCAGCGCTTCAAAACCACGAGGTGAGGATGCACGGAGACCCGACGCCGAAGGGCTTGCAAACGTGTGAACACCCATCACCAGCCTCGTGGCCTCTCTCGCTAAAAGGGCGCCGGCGTGTCCTCCGGGCTGGAGAGCAGTCACCGCTCCGGCCGGGCAGGCCGTGGACGGAGGGGGCGCTGGCTATGCCGCAGCAGCGTCGGGGGGTGATTAGCTCCCCAGGAAGAAACCCGTCTTTAGCAAGAATTTGCAAGTGGAAGACACGAGCTGATGAAATTAGGAGTTGCTGTTTCACTCCATGTCCTGTGTCCTCCTGGGACACATGCTCTCATGAATCTACGGGGACCACAGGTGAGCAAACAAGTGACCAGACTCACTTGCTGCCGAGTTAGAATTCTCCTTCCACCACGAACTGTGCCCCTGCCCTTCCGCGGAAGCTTCGGTGTTTGAGAGGAGCCCGTGTCGACCCCCGCTTTCCCTCCCCCTCCCCCCGCACCAGCTCTTCCCGGGGCTCATCCCAACTCAGCCCGGCCATGCTGCGCTCGACACGAGGACCCCCCAGAATATTGCACAGGAATCTCCCTGGCTGCCTTCTTCACACGTCTTTGTTTCACGCCAACTGGAGAGGCATCTGTGATCACTGGAATCGAGATAGAGGTGGGCGGTACCCAAGCAACTTTTAATAAAATAAAATGAAGGAGAGCAGTCATCCCATTTCTAAGGTAACTGATCTTTTTACTAGAATTTTAAAATATAGCTTTTGTATAGACGAGTTTACAGCATTTCATGATTATCCCGGATGGTCATCTCTGAGCCCTTCCCATCTGGTATATCGCACCGCAGAATGCCCAGGTAGGAAACATATGCCCACGCTCTTTGTAATCACTTAAAGCTAAACGCAGAATGTGGGGCAGGCCGGAACACCTTGAAATAATGCTTAACTAATCACAAAGCAGCTCTTCTGCAATAGGTGAGCGGACCTCTAATTAGACGGAGGAAATAAAGCTGCCACGGCAGGATGAAGGGATAGAGAGAAATGCGCAGTAATTACTGCCTCATCGTCAGCGGAAGCAGCATCACCCACGGCTCACGAAGAAGTCTGTAAGCGACCAGGCCTCCTCCCTGGTGCTGGGAGCTGGGCTCACTCAGGCTGCCCTGAGGTCGCCAAGAGTCGCTCGCAAAGGGAGACGTGGCCGTCAGGGGCGGGGAAGGGCGTGCGGCAAACGGAAGAATCATGGTACCTGTTTTCATTTTTTAAAAACATATAATTGATTTCAGAGAGGAAGGGAGAGGGAGAGAAACGTCAATGATGAGAGAGAATCATGGATCGGCTGCCTCCTGCACACCCCACACTGGGGATCGAACCCCCAACCCAGGCAGGTGCCCTGACCAGGAATCCAACCGTGACCTCCTGGTTCATAGGTCGACGCTCAGCCCCTGAGCCCCGCCGGCCGGGCGGTACCCATTTTCTTACTCGCTCGCACACCCCCACGCCAGGCGAAGGCCGCTGCCCACTCAGGACCGGGCAGGGCTGCGGCTGGGATACCCTTTTCAGCGATCGGTGGTAAACGCAACGTGTGAACGGTGCCCGCGGGCAGTGGCTGTACATTGGAGGGGACGTTGGGGAGGACTCACATTCTGTCGCTGGGGATGATCTTGTGTCCTTCTCGGAACCAGGTCACCTGGGGCCTGGGGTAGCTGCGGAGGGGCGGCAGGTCCAGGATGGCCGCCTGTCCCTCGGGCACCGTCTTCCTCTGCTCTCCAGCCAGGAAACTGCCCATATCTGCAGAGACAATCAGGCCTCTTAGGTTCTAGAAAGCTCTCTCTGAGGGGGAGGGGCCCAGGTGGAAGGAACTGCATTTCACAGCATCCCCGACATGGCGAGGAGGAGCCGGGAGGAGAGACTGAGCATGTGCTGACGGTGCCAGCTGGCGGGCCAGGTGCCCACGGCCAGGTGCCCACGGAGCACCATCAGCAGCCTCGCCCGCCACTATGCTGCTGCGACAAGACGGGTGCTAATACTTTCCCCCTAGACGAGCTGCTGGAAGCGGCCTAGAGCCACACGAGCCGGAGGCCGCTCTAACATAGAGCTCTCAGACGTCTCCCGCTCCCGAACCCCTCGCGCTGGTTTCCCCACGCCCCGCCCACCGGCGCCCCTCTCAGTCTCTCCCTTCGTTCCTGGGGTGACTGCTCCCTCACAGCTCTCCGGGGGTGAGCCATTTGCAAGCCTGGGCTCATTTCAGAGGCGCGGACTTGTTTTGGGGCAGGTGGGTGTTGTTCCAGTCTTTGTGCTACTTGGTACCAATTTAGAAAATGAGGTCACGGGAAAACCAGCCATTAGCATGTGGGTATAAGTGGCCAATGTTTACATTAGTAACGTCTGAAATTTTTTGAATGATTAGGCACACACATATGTGTATATGCATACATTTGTCTGAATATATAGGAATTTGGAACAGAATATCTCTATTATCAATGGCTTTTTTATCCAAGAGAAACTATTTCCTATATTACAAGCAGCATTTAATAGTCTAGGAAATAGATTTAATAGATTGGGAAAGCAGTTGTGGTTATTTTAAAGTAAAATTTGTTATCAAAGAGCAGGAGAAAACAGAGGTGAGAGAAAACATAGGAGATAAAGGAGATAAATCATTAAGCAAGAAAAAGTCCAAAATTTAATTTTACAAAATAGCATTTACTAGATGATCATAAATTCCAAGCCGTTAACTTATTCGAATGTCTGGGGTGTGACTTTATTGATAACGTTTTCAATGTTTCCATTGGAAAAGCTTTAAACAGCCCTGCAGGCAGACTGGGCCGAGTGACTTCCCCACAATTCAGAAACATCGCTGCCTTCCTAGTCATGGAAGATGTAAGTGAACGTGGGTGAGATCTGCACTCAGGCCCCAGCAGCCAGGGCACAGGAGAGCAACTGGGAATCGCTTTAGTTCGTGCGGAACGCTGACCACTGCGGGCCTGACTGTGGGCAGATAACGAAGGAGAGAAGGCAGCCATCGCTGCTCAGCACGGCCCCGCCAGGAGCGCGTAGGGCTCTCTGGCCTCTGGGCCTCTGTCAGGACGCACGAGTGTGGAATTTAACATTTCATGACGCCCTTTGCTTTCTTTGAAAGGAAGAGACATTCTGGTAGCAAATTCGCACTAGAATGAAGGAGACAGGCCATTGTAGATGGATGGGACCTGTCACAGGTTATGGACTAGAAAAGTACTAAATGCTTTACATGGGCCAGCTCCCCTCACCTGGTTGAATCCCGGCTCCCCCGGAATTCAAGCTCCCTACTTTCAAAAGTTTCCTTATTCAAAATGGGCCTGCCCAACAGGATTAACTAGCCCCGTGGTCAGCACACTGCGGCTCTCGAGCCACATGTTTTCCGAGCCGCAGTTTGCCGACCACTGAACTAGCCCAACAGGATTAACGAACTCACTGTTACATGAACCCGCCTGGGACGTGACGAGCCACGGACTCTGGTCGTGCAGCTCAAGGATCTCTGAACACATCATTGCAAGGAACGGATTCTAACTTGATGAAAAGTTACCGAATTGGGTTTAATTTTTTATTTTAAAAACACTGAATGTGAATGTAACGAAAGCTCAGAGCAGCTCACTAATTCATAAAGCAGAGGCAGCTTGTTCTGCTTATTTTATTTCCACCCTCCACAGCAGGGGTCCTCAAACTACGGCCCGCGGGCCACATGCAAATACAAATACTGTATTTGTTCCCGTTTTGTTTTTTTACTTCAAAATAAGATATGTGCAGTGTGCATAGGAATTTGTTCATAGTTTTTTTTAAACTATAGTCCGGCCCTCCAACGGTCTGAGGGACAGTGAACTGGCCCCCTGTTTAAAAAGTTTGAGGACCCCTGCTCCACAGCGCTTACTGGGCCCTCGATCAGCTGAACTGAAAGGTGCCCTTCCCCTCATCAGCCCCACCGCCATCGGACCAGCCACCCCCGCAATTCCCTTCTCTCTCCACCGGTTTCAGCAGGGACTCTATTCCATGTGGGACCCCAGACAGAAGCCAGCCCCGAGGCGGCCGAAGGTGACTGACGGGCACCCCACCCTGTCACTGGCCGTGGAGAGCTCAGTGGACACGTACAGGCGACGTGGACCTCCGATCTTCTCTGCAGGAGCGCGCCCAGCCGGTTCCGCACGGCGCAGCGGTAGAAGCCGGCGTCCAGCTGCCGCAGCGCCGGGATCACGTACCTGCCGAACACGGACACAGCGTTAGTGCGCCTCCCACAGCGGCCGCCATCGCACCCGGCGCTCCACTAAGACCGTCTCTAATAAGTAATGTCCGGGCAACCCTCCCTGCCCAGCACGCCCGCTGCCGCTGCGATCTGTTGGAGGGATGACTCAATCCATCCCCGTCCCCCACCGGCTGTCAGTGTCCCGGGAAACGGGTTTCAGATCTGCCCTGTTCATGGCTGCACCCGGGGTGCCGCCTCAGTGCCGGGCACCTGTGCACGCAGGAGCCGCTGCTCCCGGGGCTGGAGGGACGCCAGGCACAGAGCGAACGAGGCTGTGGCAAGGCCGACGGCGCCGTGGCATCCCGGCCAGCGTCGCTCCCGCGCCATGCTAGGCGCACCGCCCAACACGAGTCACACGCTTTCCTTTCTCTCTTCTCCTCCGGGGCCCAACATTCATTTTAAAACCTCTCGGGAGGACTGAAAGGGCAATGCATTTGTATTTCCATTCCTGTGACTATAAGCAATCATCCTTCAAATCAGCGCCTTTCAAAGAGCGTCAGTAAAGTTTTACAGGAAAAAGTGCAGAGAAGACACCGTTTCCATAAAAGCCTGCTTCAGGCTTACCGTTGGCTTTATAACGTAGGATGTTTTGAAACCCGCAAGCAAGTGGGATAAATAGCCCAGAACCACTTAGTGAGCTTACAGCTCCGAGGCCACACCGCTCACGCTGTGCGAGTGCTCTAGCGGGCCTCTGGCCGCGCTCGCAAACAAATCGAGAACAGGGTTTAAGGTCTGAGGCAGGCACCTTCCACACGTGGGCAGCTGTCTACTACGAGGAAGAAGAGGGCTGAAGCCCAGTGAATGCTGCCTATTTTCCAAAAGAGCGAAGAGGTGGGGCTGCACTCCTTGTGGAAAAGATGTTCTGGTCGTGGGCATCTCGTTTAAGAATAGCGCCTCCTGCCCAGCCAGCGTGGCTCAGGGGTTGAGCGTCGACCTATGAACCAGGAGGTCACAGTTTGATTCCCGGTCAGGGCACATGTCCGGGTTGCAGGCTCCATCCCCAATGTGGGGCGTGCAGGAGGCAGCCAATCAATGATTCCCTCTCATCATTGATGTTTCTATCTCTCTCTCCCTCTCCCTCCTCTCAAATCAATACAAATATATTTTTAAAAAGAAGGCCACCTCTTACACCGCAGAGTACTAACGCAGGTAGGAGGCACCGAATGTGGGATTGTATGTGCTCAGTTCCTAAGTACACCTGGAAATCACTGACATTCACCTAATTGCTCATCTTTTTACTCAAGCGTGTCCAATTAGTCAACCCCAAAAAGGATCTGATAGGCATAATTTTTAAGCAAAAAACCCCACACATTTGGACCATACAGCTAATTCAGTATTAAGCAAATATTAATCAAAGTATGTTTTCCCTCAGATAACCATCTTGAGATCCTATGGCGAGATTAATAAAATCTTTTATGAGGAAAATATTGCTGAGTTTTAATATTCAAAATTTCATTCTTTTCTGAGGAATGGTTTACCTCAAATAAAAAATTAATTAGTGCATCGACTAGTAAATCAGAATAATACTGAAGAGAGCACAAGGAGTCAGTGCCATGTATTTAAATTACAAATAAAACGGGAAGGATGAGGGGTTTTATTATGTACCGTGATTCTAAGAAGGAGGAGTTTTGAGACTGCATTAAAATAAAGTCAACGAAAGTTTTTGGAAAAGAAATAACATGGTCATTAGAGCATGTTTTTGAAAAAACTATAAGAACAGCTTCGTCACTGCAGCGGAACCATATTTAATATCATTGGTATTCGTGCCATTTCCCTTTTTGGAAGAATCTGAAACTAGCCGATACCTTTCTGATGCTTTTCTGTAGCGCTCACACGCACAGTGAACAACTCAGCACTGCTTTCAAACCACGGAGAGAAAGAGACAAGGCAGAGTGTCAGACATATGCTGTCTGTACCGGAGCTTTAGTTGAATGCCTCACCAGGGGAAAAAATATACAAAAAAGTTGCAAAGTCCTCCCACCTCTTACAGGAATTTCCTACACATTATGTTCGCCCAACAGATGGGAACACTCCTCGCGGGCCTCTGTTTATCAGCACACATTTTCAAGCCGAGAAAGTTTCCTGGCTCTTTACAAGCAACTACGATGACATCTTAGCACCAGATGCCACGAAAAGACAGAAAATGCTGCTCCGGTTTCAAGTAAACTCAGCAGGGAATGTCACACCACAGTGAAATTCCACTAGGCTGCCCAGCCGGCGTGGGTCAGCGGTTGAGCCTCGACCTATGAACCAGGAGGTCGCAGTTCCATTCCCGGTCAGGGCACAGGCCGGGTTGCGGTCTCAATCCCCAGTAGGGCGTGCAGGAGGCGGCCAATCAATATATATATATATCCTACTAGGCCAGTGGTCGGCAAACCGCGGCTCGCAAGCCACATGTGGCTCTCTGGCCCCTTCAGTGTGGCTCTTCCATAAAATACCACGTGCGGGCACGCATGCGATTGAAACTTCGTGGCCCATGTGCAGAAGTCGGTTTTTTGGAAAAGAGATAGACAAAACAAGTATACAAGACGAGTGTGGATGGGAGAGTTGGAAGGGGTCGACCTCAGCGAATGTACCTCAATCAGATTGAGGACGTTTTTAGTAAAGGCCAGCTTAGGAGTACCCTAATTAAGTTAATAACAATGTACCTACCTATATAGTTGAAGTTTAAAAAATTTGGCTCTCAAAAGAAATTTCAATCGTTGTACTGTTGATATTTGGCTCTGTTGACTAATGAGTTTGCCGACACCGGACTAGGCTAACAGAACAGTGTCCAGGCCAGTTCACCATCAGGAAGAGCAAGTTAAAAAAAATCCAACAAAATCACAGCAAAACCAAGGGTTGAAGGGAATCCTCCACTTCCGCTAAGTAGAACAAGGTCCTGAACTGCCGCTCAGAACGGGTCACAGGCACAGCCCGTGTCTCCAGGACGCGGCAGCGGGTGCACTGCAGCCCGGGACAGTGCTCCGACCAGCCTCCCGGGGGGAGGGGGGGGCAGCGGACACTTTTGGTCTCCGAGCATCTGCTCACTCTCCCGTATTTGGAGAGTGCTCCGCTCGGAGGCTTGGGGGAGGCCGACCCAGTGCCGGCCACTGGCACTGTGGGCTCTGAGACCTGGGCCGGGCGAGCAGTGCGCGTGTCCATGCCCATCAGGGCAGCGTCCCCCGCAGTGGCATCCAGTGCCCGTGTCCCCAGCAGCAGGGCCCTCGCTCAGAGAAGAAGTGCAGCTTGCTCCTCCCCCAGCTGCAGGAAGTCCTGGTAGAAACTGCAGACCATCCTCTCGGGGGGACTCTGGTGGCTGGCACTCAGCAGCAGGTGCAAGGGGCACTGAGGCTCGAAGAACAGGCTCCCTCTGACCCTCCTGTGGCCATTCCAAAAGCCCTTGTGGCTCCACCTTTCATCTGAGCCACGGCTTGGCCACCAGGTCCCCGCAGCCTGGGCGGCCTGCGTTCAGGTGCGGTGGCAGCACCCCACATCAGCCAGGCCTCGTGCCGCGTGCTGCCTGTCCCGGGGTTCTCTGCGCCAGGATGTCCACACGGGCCCTCAGGCCTGAGGGACCGGAGTGAGGCTGGGGCCGTGGGCCATCTGCTGAGGAAGGAGCTCAGAGGTGACCGTGTTCGGCTCCCTCCATCCCAGGGGGATCAGTGGAGCTCTGTAAGGACCTTGATACGGAGCGTGTCCTGGTTCTGTCTGGGTGGCACTGGGTCTTCCTCCTCGCATTGCAGCTCTGCCCTCGCTCTCGCGGCCTGAGTGTCCCAGACACCTCGTGCCAACCCGCCTCTGCAGTTTCCAGAGAGCCCAGCTGATCACAGAGAGCAGACTGTCCGACGTGCTGCAGAATGGTTCTCGCTTATTATTTGCCTCTTCATTGGCCACTGAGGAGACGTAAAATTGGATATGGCTGTTATCTGGTTTTGGTGATTTTTCTAGTGCCTTTTACACGTTGGTATATTTAGAGATCATTTCACCTTTGTTTTCTTATAGTTTAATTTTTTAATGTAACTCTTAAATGAATCTGCAAAGTACTTGGTGTCTGGTATAAAAAGAGGACCCATGTTCAATATTGTTTCCAAATAACTGATTTCTTTGCCGCTGGTTCTCATGCTCACTTGAGGGTGTGGGTTTTTATGGACACAACGGTCTAGTTCAAACTCCCTTCTGGAATATTTCTGTCTGTCTGTGTCCCACTAACATGTCATTTAATTATGGTGGCTCCTGGGAGGAAATACTCCTCCCTGTGTTCACCTAGTATTTGAAGATTCGTTGGGCTTCTTTTCTGTTTATATTTCGACATGCGCTCTGGTGTCCGCTCATGAATCACGGTACCCTCAGCAAACCCCATCGGGACTTTTCTTGAAATTAGGCTAAACTTCAACAACAATTTCAAAGGAATTTCAGTTTCTACAATGTTTAGATTTCCCAACTAGGGCGACGTTCACTACTTTTCTTCATGTAGGTTCTACTCATCTATATATATAAAACCCTAATATGCAAATAGACCGAACGGCAGAACAACCAAACAACCAGTTGCTATGACGTGCGCTGGCCACCATGGGGCGCGCGTGGAACATGGTAGGCATCAGTAGCAGGCAGCAGAATGAGGAACATGGTGGGCATCGGCCGCAGTGGGATGGTGGAGCAGGTGAGCAGGGGCGCTAGACCAAGGCGGGGCTCCCGTCACTGTCATCGGGGCGAGCCTCTGGTGGTTACTGAAAATTCTTTGCTCCTGTGTGCCGTGGTCCCACTGGGCGCTCACACCTGCTGCCGGCGCCCACACCTGCTGCTGGTGCTGGCCCCACTCGCACCCGCTGCTGGACCCAATCGCCCCTGAAGGCTTCTCCACCTCTCCCTGCTCCTGAGGGTCGATTGGGGCAGCAGCAGCCGCTCACACCTGCTGATGGCACCAGCCCCATTTGCACCTACTGCTGGCGTCAGCCCTAATCGCTCTGCGCCGTCAGCGGGTGCGAGCAGGGCCAGTGCCGTCAGCGCATGGGAACGGCAGTGGCAGCAGCGGGGCTGCCAGCAGACAGGGGACCAGGGGCCACGGTGGGAGAGGTGGGGCGGGGGCGCGAAGCTGTGCCTACCGCAGCTTCGCGGCCCACAGTTCCTTTCAAGGTGCACAAATTCATGCACCGGGCCCCTAGTTTCTTATAAAGGTGATTTCCAGGCACTGAATAATTTTTATTGATATTATGAAATTTTTTATCTTTGGATAAGACTTAGGAAAAAGTAACTTCCCCCTTAATTTCTATTTTTTTTAATGGAATAAAAAAAAATAAACATCCATGAATTTTCTATCATTTAACTGTCCTAGAGGCTGAGCACAGAGACAGGCCCAGGAGGAAGCGGTGAGATCCTTCAGCAGCTCAGAGCATCCATTACCACCCCCGCCCTCTGTAACAATGAGCACTGTGCCCAGCACCAAGAAAGTCTCGGCTTGGGGATATACACTTTGAATACAATTGCAAAATAATGTTTTAGCCCAAAATAGAAAATAATTTAGAATAAATGTTGTTGTTTTTTTGGGGGGGGGGGGGCGGGCAGGTAGAAATGGTTTTCTCATGAGACTGCTATCGCGTTGCAGTGTAGTCACCTGTGCTTACATGTGGAAATGAGCAGGCCCATGAATAACACAGCAGCTGGAACTCGCCAGAACTCACCGTGCAGTTTAACCGTAATACAAGCAGCCAAGAAATTGCTTTTTTTGTCAAAGCTGCAAAGGTGAATTTATATTATTTTCTCTGTTATAGGGCTAGCATTTTCATCACTGACACCAAGTGTACGGGTGGGGTCGGCATTCATGTCAGGCGGGAACAGCCATCATCCTCGGAAGGCGCCGTGTTTTCAATTCGGGACGCGGAGCCGCCGTGGAGGTGAGCGCCTGGCAGCCGAAGGTGCTGAGCGGGAGTCAGGCGGTGGAAGAGTAATTTGGAAAACCAGCCTGAGGTTTTTAGACAGGTTTTATATCTTGAAAAAAATGATGACAAAACACGATGGATCCTCGATAACCCATCTCAGTCCTGGAGCCTCATGAATAGAATGTAATTTATCACGTCGGCCCCAAGTCAGCGGCTGCAGAAACCCATCTCTCCCAGCGAGCTCCGGGGAAGCGGCCGCCACGAGGCTCCTTGTGCTAATGGTGCGGGTCCCCCTCGCCCGGCTCCAGCGCAGGACGCCGGTCTCCTGTGGACTCTCCAGAGCCCCGACGAGCAGGCGCGGCCGCCGGGGCACAGTCCCCTCCTCCAGGATGTCCAAGTTCACCCCGAAACTGCTTTACAAGTTTAGATGGCTGCACGTATAAAATGATGGCACCGTGCAGCGTTCTGGCGCTTACAAATAAAAATGTTACACCACTGTTTTAAAATGTCTCCAATGGAATCTAAATAATAGAGTGGTTTTGATCGCCACATTATCCAGTTTTCAAAATGAACTCTAACCAATTCAGCTTCCACATGGTTTCTCTTTTCTCTCTGAAGTTGCGCATCACACCTACTCACCCCACAGAAACGTATCCTCATGTAACAGAGTTTTATGCATTAAGGATACACATCGATTGCCCACTCGACTTCTCGGAAATAAAATGTGCACATAAATAGCAATTTAGAGAGAATCCCCTTTGTCCAAAAGATTTGAAGTGCTTTTTAAAAAAATTTCTTCTGGGTTCCATGTTCACTGTTCATCAAAACACAGTAAATGTATTACATACTTTGAAAAATAACGATTAAACATTAAAAACTTAGAAAGGAAACATGTTTCTTAATGAGACGGCAGTGACTGTTTTCAATTCGCATTTCGTTAAATGGCAAGTTAGTTGCTGCTGGAATGAACAGAATTGGACAGGAATTTAAAGAAGAGGAGGAAGGCCTGACCAGGCCGCATGCCGCTCATTTGCTGGGAATGAGTGAGTGGGAGAAACGAGCTCACAGAGCCGAGGCCGAGGCAGCGCGGGAAGCACTGACGTCACACAGGCGGCCGGGGGCCTCCACAGCACATGCTCTTTGTGGGGGGCAGTGAACAGAAGTGTCTTCTGCAGAAATGTTTGGGGAAACATGAGCACAGACTTCCCGTAGGGGGCGCTCCTTCTAGATTAGTGGTTCTCAACCTTCCTAACGCCGCGACCCTTTCATACAGTTCCTCATGTTGTGGTGACCCCCAATTTCATTGTTACAAATTGAACATAATTAAAGCATAGTGATGAAGCACAAAAACATTATGTGATTTATATGTGTTTTCCGATGGTCTTAGGCGACCCCTGTGAAAGGGTCGTTCAACCCCCAAAGGAGTCGGGACCCACAGGTTGAGAACCGCTGTTCTAGATCAATGCAGAACAAGGACCTGCGGGTGGATGGAACTTCTCCCCTCCTCCCAGAAATCGGTACCCGAGCCGGGAAACGCAGAACAGTGTGCTTCCTAGACCTTTTCTCCACTTGCTTTACATTTCAAGCGAACGTGGGCTAGTCCGATGCTAATGTATGGAAATGAGGGCCTCCGAGCCTGACAGCACGTGTGCGGGCTGCTGAAGTGGCGCCCTCACCTGCGGCACCTCGTGCAGGTGCTGTCCTTGCCGGGCGCTCGCCCAACGTTCCTGAGGGCGGCAGCCTGGCTGAGGGCTGTTGGGGAGCAGAGCCGGTGAGGGGAGCCCAGCCTGCGCAGTGTAACTGAGGCGGCTCCGGGCTGGGTCCAAACACCCCATTTCCAGGGTCAGGTTTGCAGTTATGAGACATACGTGTAGACTGAAAGGCAAGGGGCTCTCTGGCTGCCTGCAGGGCCCACTCTTTGGGTTAAGCCAAATATTTTGAACTGTGTGTGTGGCTGGCGCCCTAGGATGGCTTTGAGCGGGAGGCTCGGATAGGCCGGTGTGCCTCTCGCTATGAGACGAGAGAAACAACGCAGAAGCCGGACAGGAGAACACACGGGCGTGATCTCAGCGGCTCGGTTCCGGAACGCAAGCCAGTGGAGACTGAGGGTCTAGAACGCAGTCTGTCTGCCACTGTCCTTGGCCATGACCTCAGGGTGAAGACACCAGGACAGGCCATCCACTGACCACTCCTTTTTATTAGGATGAACAAGCTGGATTCTCTTAAAACATCCTTCCTATCTGCCTAGGCCTTAGGGCACCAAAGCAGTGTCATTTGAATTTTAGGACCCCCCTGAGGTGGGCTTTGTTATACCCATTTTACAGGTGAGAGAAGTAAGGTCACTCTGGTGAGATAGCTTGTCCAAAGTCACCCAGGCAAACGGAAGTGCTGCACTCTCCTCTGCTGGGAAAGCCCACGGCTCACCGAGGGTCCTCAGTTCTAAGGCCACTGCGTTCTTTCTTGCGCTCCTAACAGAGCAAGCCCAGATGCCACGGGACAGTAATACACACTGTGGCCGAGGCCTTGGTAACAGGCGGCTGTGGGCCAGACAATAGGCCATGTTCACATATTAGCACCTTCACGCTCACAACGCCACGAGTGAGGTGTGACCATCCCTCTGCGACACTGGACGAGGGGCTCGCGGCCGCCCTGCCCAAGGTCACCGCCAGGCCAACTGCTGGGGGCTGGGACTCACACCCAGGTCTGCTCAGCGTCAACCAGCTTGACCATGAGGACCAAGCTCCAACCACTGACACCGACAGGGCGGGCCCGTGGATGACAGAGGCGGCCTCGGCTCAGGGCTGCGCGGGGCGGGCCGACACTGGGCTGACCGACACGTGTGGCCGATGGGGTGGGGCCAGAGCGCCCCGGACCCAGTGGCCGTGCCTTTCCCGAAGGCAGCTCTGCCAGCGCCTGCTCCTGTGTGGGCTGCCGACTGGTCAAGGGGGGCCCGAGAGCCCACTTTTATGTAATATCTTACCATCGTCCATGCTGGCCATCAATTAAGAAATCTACTCTGTGTACAGCCATGTAGACTTCAAACTGATTTTTTAAATACACACCCCACTGCGGGCAGACAGAGTGGATCCCCCCGGGGGGGGGCCAGGCAGGGTGTGGATCCTGGGGGGGCAGGCAGGGTGTGGATCGGGGGGTGGGGGGAGACAGGGGCACAGCAGGCAGGGTGTGGATCCTGGCTGGCCTTAGTGGGGCTCTGAGGACAGTGAGTGGTGGCCACGCCTCCAGGGGAAGCCCCTCCCTCTATTAAAGTAACCCCGGAAATCCCATTCTCTTTCCCATTTCATGGGAGGAGAGCCTGGAATTGCTGCTGGTGCTGCGCGAGGCCTCTCAGACTTTCAGGCCGTCTCTGCCTCTCCGTCCTTCCCAGAAGGGCAGCATCAGTGTGACCCTCCTCGCACAGAAATGCAGGTTGAACAGACATGAACCTAGAGACCCGCTGGGCCACAGGCTGGTGCTGCGGCTTCCCCTTCCGGTAAGGCCCCAGCCCAGGCGTGGCCTGACCCCTGCTCCCGGCCTCTGCTCCCCGCCTCTGGCCTGTACGCAGTCCCCAGCGGAGTTCTCAGGCCTGGGCCCCGGCCAGCACCCACAGGGATGTGCTGTGGATGCAGGCGCCCTCTGCAGGCCCACCCTCCGCGGCTCCATCTCTCCTGCCCCAGCTCCGCGAGCTCCCGAGGAGGTTTCCCTGAGCACAGAGCTGCAGACGCTCTGGTCTAAGAGGCTGTTTACCCACGTGTGCTCCTCGGACAGGGCACGACCAGGGCCGGGCTGCTGCCCGGGGAAAGCAGGTCTAATCCTAAGGCTGCTGTTCGCATTCCTCTCTTTGGGGTCTGGTAACTCCACTCCCAGGCTTCGTTTTACAAATATAACGAGAGACTCCCTACGTGTGAGCAACACAACCTGTATGAGAACAGCAAACCCATCCTAAGCGCATGTTCAAAGCCACTTCTTCCTCCGGGGGCGTTAGAAAGCCACGCCCACCAGGTCAATCCCTGCGCCTCCACGCCGACAAGGCCAACGCTCTACACACACCCACGTGCAAGGGCATCCCAGCCTGAGGCGACCCGGTACCTGTACTCGCTGCTGTAGGCGGTGACCTCGCTGTCGTTGCGCAGCCACCTGAACTCCAGGGGCCAGCTGCCCTCGGCCAGGCAGGTGAGGACCAGGCGGTTGCCCTCCAGGTGCGTCTGCGGCAGCCCCGGCTCCGTCTTAAAATACGGCACCACGTCCTCTGAAGAATTTTAAAGAAGAAGAAGAAAGAAAAAAATAGCTGAATAAAGTGCGTGTGAAAACGGCATTCATCCAATTAGTGAATCACTTGTTTAAATCGACTCATTTATTCGCAGAGATATGCACCCCTATGGTCAGGGCAGCATGATACACGGCGGCCAAGGCATGGACACCAGGAAGTGCCCGCGGGGGAGGACTGGATGGAGGAGGCTGGTCCACACCCCCCGCGGGATACGGCTCAGCCACAAAGGACGAAGCGGCGCCGTTTGAACAACATGGATGGACCGTGAGAACATGATGCCGGTGACAGTCAGACAGAGAAAGCTAAGAACCATGTGATGTCACGCGTATGTGGGCTATAAAACTGACACATGAACACACGCGGCAGAGGGGTGGTGCCAGAGGGAGGGGGTGGGGAGAAGGGGACGAACATGAGGCAACAGGAGCAGAGCTGACTCTGTGGTGGGCACACGGTGCCATATGCAGATGTTGTACCTTAGAAACTCGCTCCTGAAACCTGTATGCTCATGATGACCAATGTCACCCCAACAAAACTTAATTAAAATAAAAATAACGATAAAATAAAGTGGCCTTGTTTTAAAAGTAGCGATGATGGCCATTCGGCCCCCTGGAAGCTCTCAGTGATCACAGTTCCCATGGCTGCGCGCTCACTGGTGGCGCCATCCGAGCGCGTCTGACGGAGCCGCCCCGGCTAGTCCCCGTGGGTTCACCCGCATTTCTCCAGGGGCAGGCGGGCCCTCTGCTCCCACAGCCTGGGGGCAACGAGGCACACTGTCCTCAAGGTGACAGCAGGGGTGCACCTGGGCTCCGAGACCACGCCCTCACATCGCCTTCCATAACCAGCGAACCTCATGCCTGCACGGACGCCATGAGGCACCCAGCTCAGCTCACGCACGGGCGGGGGCGCCACCCCGGGAACCTCTGTGTTTCGCACAAAGGAATAGCACAGGGCAACGGGAGTGAGCCACCTACAGCCACACACGACCCGGAGCCGGCGCACCCCACAGACACCCGGGGAGAAAGACGCCAGACAGGAAGGAGTTCCCACACAGGCCTCCATCCCAGGTTCCGGGAAGTTAAAACCAGGCGGCACTGTCTGTGGTGTCAGAGGTCAGGGTGGGGGTGACCTTGGGGGGGTGGGGCAGGGCATAGGGGGCTGCGGATGGAGACAGGCCAGACCTACTCTGTGTGGTTGCATGGGGGTACATATTTAGTGAAACTGCATATATATGACTTGTACCATTTTTGTATGTACGCTTCAATAATTTTTAAAAAACATATGACCACAGGACACTCAGCTTCTAGTTCTTGCCATCTCTAATTCCCTGCATGACCCTGATTCTGTTTATTCATCAGTAAAACACAGGGAATTAGATGCCTGCTCGCTTTTGCGATGAAATCCCAGGGCACGCCTGTGTCATCTGCTCCCTGTCCGCCTTCCAGGCCTCCTACCCTCTCAACTCACACGGACACTCCGCCGCTCGGCTTCTGACCTCTGAAGCCAGGAAAGCCTGTCACACCTGGGGCCTTCCCTCTGCCCTTTCCCGCCTGGACACCCCCCTCCCCAAATAAGAAGATTTAACCTGGTCAGTGAGCACGTGCAGCGGCCAGGAGCTAAAAGCTCAGTCCAGTCAGATCCTCAGATCAAACCAAGCACCGAGGCCCTGGGGTGTGAGCTGCCTTGGGAGGTACACAGGCTAGAAAACCAGCAGGTGGCGGTGGGGACGGGAGCAGGTGCGTCGGGCCCAGCCGCAGCGGTCTCCATCCCCGGTGATTTTCAGTGGTGCTCACTTCACACTCCACACGGTCTCGTGTGAATAATAAGTTACATGGTCGCCCTAGTCACAGGCCTAGTGAACAGACTGTCAATGTTATTATAACTAGTGGCCTGGTGCATAGATTCGTGCACAGTGAAAGGAAGTGGGGATACGCTCCCTCCTCTCTGGTTCCAGGGTGCGTCACCCGAGAACCGCTGCTGCCAAGTCATCACAGCTTGGCAGCTTCTGTGTTGAGCATCCGCCCCCTAGTGGTCAGTGCGCGTCATATGTACCGGCCGGTCAGATGGTCACTTAGCCATATATATATATATATATATATATATATATATAGAGAGAGAGAGAGAGAGAGAGAGAGAGAGAGAGAGATGGTGATTCGCTATTACTCTAGAACAGGGGTGGAGAACGGCTGCCGCCTAAGGCCTGAGAAATCACTGGGTCTGGCCCTGCCCAGGTCATTAGGGGTGAGTTATTAAATGTTTGATCAAATATAGCAGCAGGCTAATTTGTACGTTGATAATTTTATGGCCCTTGAACGATGTTATAAATGCACGGTGGTCCTCGGCAGATAAGAGGTTCCCACCCCCTCTAGAGGGACAGAAGGCAGCCTGGACAGCGTCGCCCTTAAAGCTCATTCTGGCCGCACCAAGGAGGGGTGAGGCGTGAGGCGTGAGGAGTGAGGTGTGAGGTGTGAGGAGTGAGGCGTGAGGAGTGAGGCGTGAGGCGTGAGGAGTGAGGCATGAGGAGTGAGGCGTGAGGCGTGAGGCGTGAGGAGTGAGGTGTGAGGTGTGAGGAGTGAGGCGTGAGGCGTGAGGAGTGAGGCGTGAGGCGTGAGGCATGAGGAGTGAGGTGTGAGGCGTGAGGCGTGAGGAGTGAGGTGTGAGGTGTGAGGTGTGAGGCGTGAGGCGTGAGGAGTGAGGTGTGAGGAGTGAGGAGTGAGGTGTAAGGCGTGAGGCGTGAGGTGTGAGGTGTGAGGTGTGAGGCGTGAGGCGTGAGGTGTGAGGAGTGAGGAGTGAGGTGTAAGGCGTGAGGCGTGAGGAGTGAGGAGTGAGGTGTGAGGTGTGAGGAGTGAGGCGTGAGGAGTGAGGCGTGAGGCGTGAGGAGTGAGGCGTGAGGAGTGAGGTGTGAGACGTGAGGCGTGAGGAGTGAGGCGTGAGGAGTGAGGCGTGAGGCGTGAGGAGTGAGGTGTGAGGCGTGAGGCGTGAGGAGTGAGGCGTGAGGCGTGAGGCGTGAGGAGTGAGGCGTGAGGAGTGAGGCGTGAGGAGTGAGGTGTGAGACGTGAGGCGTGAGGAGTGAGGCGTCCGGAATGGGGCGTGAGGAGTGAGGCGTGAGGAGTGAGGCGTGAGGC